CAGTCCTAGTTCCTCTTATAAATCTTAGTTATCTTATTTCTTCCTTTTTTCTTTATCACAGTTATCAGACAAATATAGCAATTATAAGGTTTCTTTCCTCAGTCCTTTCCTTAACTCTTTTAAAGTGTCAATTGTCATTTTTTCAAGTTTTTACTCTCAGCTGTTCTTCTAATCTCTCTGTCTCATTCGGTTTGGAGTTTCAATTTTCAATTTCCCTTTGTAGTATAAATCAGTATTCTGGAAATCTTTAAGTTCACCTTTACACTACTCAATTTGCTGTTCTCCACTCTTTGCTTCCTTCCTTCTTCTGTAAGCTGCTGGGCTGCCACGTCTATGATTCCGATCTGTACGATCTCCCTCTTCTGCTGCTGGTTTTCGGGGGATTCTCTTGTAATCTCCAGGATTGTGGCACCTCCCCGAGATCTCCAGGTCTTCCCCTTTCGTCTGTCTACCCCTCCGAGGTCCAACACGCTCCTGGAAGCCACCAAACAGTGAAAATTGGAGCCTTTCAGAGCGGTGATTCGCTCCTCAACTCCACATCAATGCAGCGCCTAGATGGAAGCCCCATGGCTGAAATTTTAGTTGGTCTACCTAACTGTGGTTTGGTTTCAAAAGAACCCCTCACTTTCCACTTCTTGATTAGTGTTTGAACACTGCTGATTGGCATTCTTAATTCCTTGGATATCTTTTTATATCTCTTTCCTGTTTTATATAGTACCTTTTTCCGCAAATCCTTTTGACAATTCTTTTGCTTTCCTCATGACTCAGAAGCCAGAAATGTCAGTGCAGCACTGGATGAAAGATCCAAGGGTCTGTCTGGAGTCCCGGAACTCACTGACCTTTTATACACACACACTAATTACAAGCAAACAGATAACAGGTGAGGGCGGTTACCTTTAATCACCATTCAAACCCCTTTGTGCCTGTATGCATGTTATCAGGCCAAAATCACCAGGGTATGTAAACTTTTGATCAGGGTCATTTGGGTAGTTTCTATTGTCATTATGATTTAAAAAGAGTAAACACAGTTGATTGATAATAAATTGGGTCAGCCAACCACGAACCATGAGTAAACAAAAGTTTTTGTGTTATCATTCATATTCTCTGAACAATGGCCAAGAAATCATAAATTCTGCTAGAGTATGTAAACTTATGAGCACAACTGAAAGTCAGAGTGTATTTTCCTACTTTTTCCCACACAGGTGTGACATTTTGAACTTGGTGCAGCATTTCAACAGATTCAGTTCCACAAGGCACAGAACACTTTCTTATCAGGAGATCTGAACGTTTGGCTTTGAAAAAAATAAAAGTCACAAGGTTGTTAGGAATGGGACAATGGAAATACAAGAACTTTTGAAATAGGGTCTTCTTGATTTTCAAGCATTGCTTCCTCCAGATACACTTAAATGGTGGCTTTTAATACTTCCCAAGTTAAAGGTTAAGAAATTCAAAGGATAAGAAATGTCAAAGTTGTTCTATCAGTTCTTATACTTTCTTACAAATGTTGGTTTATGGTATGAACAAACATTCAAAGAAATGCACAGGTTCACTTGATTTCTGTATGAATTTCATATAATAACAGGTAGGTTATGTATGGACTGTTTAGGCAGTGCTATCAGATTTCCATTGGAAGGAGTTTGTTTTATCCCTGTCGTTCTTTCTTTTCCAATTGTACATTGACAATGAACCAAAAATCTTCAAACCAAATGTTCAGATCAACTGGTTGTGGATCACACACATTTGTTAAAAAAAACAATATACTTGTTTACCTGCATACATTTGAAATCATTCAAAAGATTAGAATGACAGCTGGTTTATGTATTTTAACCAACCAACATTTAATTTGACTGCATTTTAAATTTATATTTAAAGTAGAACACAAACCTGAAGTAAATAATTTGAAATGAATAAATGCTAATTAATTTCCACTAAAGTAACATTTAAGTTTCTTGGTGAGGATGGTTAAAATGTGCAATTTTCTGTGATGCTCTGGAAGTGTCCTCTTTAACTATTTATAAAAAATCAGGGGGAAAACAGCCGAACCATCATTCTTTGTCTTACATTCAAAATTACTCTGCACTATTTCATCTGTATCTGTGACTGCTTGTCAATACATGTTGTATTAGTGACAGTGACACTTTTGTTTACTAAATACTTCTCTTACAATAAAGTAGATAGGAAAGTATTGAAGTGTTACAAAAGTTTCCTTCCAAAACTAATCAAACTTCATATTTTTCCATCTATTCAACTAGAGGAAATATTCTGATTATAGTTTACATACATACAGAGATTGCATAGACAGTATGTGACTTTATTCAATTTCATTTTTCTTACAGAGCAAAATACATTCAGAGTTAGGAATCTGGAAACTTTCAGCATAAAATATTAAATTAGGGACAATTTCAAATCACAGATGTGAATTTGAAATGCTGTTCAATTAAATTAAAAATGCTGGAGGGCAGACCAATTTGCATTGATTAGATGCCTTAAAATTAGGATGCCCAAATTCCCACCAATTAAACTTGAATAGTAGTATACTAATATTTTTTAAAACAGGACTAGAAAACTGCTTAACCAATCACATAGTGTTTTGTAGTAATGGAAGCATTAATGGCAATGGAATGGTGACAGCTTGGCCTCATGTTATTATATTATTTTTGAGGGTAGTGCTCCTTCTCCTTGCCTCAAGGCATCATAAGTTTCCTGTACTTATAGTTTATTTCAATTAAAATGGCATATGGCTTTTACAGCTGTCTGCTTGATATGCCAACCTCTATTCAATGTATTTTTTCCATATGAAGCTATGTTTCCATCACATAGTTGATTGGGAAGCTACTAGACAGACCTGGGGCTGGGTTCCTATTAATATCACATTCTACCTTCTCCCATGATTAATTTAAGTGCATTATGCAAGTATGGACCCAATCTCTTTAAGACATAGAAAGAGAAGGGAAAGTAATTGGCAGATGAGTAAATGCACCTAGCCCAAAGGGATGACTATGCTGTAAAATACAAAGTTACTCTGTGTCATGCCTCTGTTGGAATCTGATTCCGAGGGAGAGGTGGAACAGCTGACAGGGAGTGGGAGTGTGGCTCAGGTGGCTGTGGAGGAAACTGGGGAAGGGCACAGTCCGGCTGGGCATTCAGAGGAAGACCCAGGCCCACCCCTTCTTCATCCTAGGGCACGCAGGGAGGAACAGATAAGGGAGCAATGTGGGTTATGGGGGAGAAAAAGGCTCTGATTCCCTTCATTAGCTGCAGCTCGGAAAACCGGATAAAGAGGGTGTTTGCGCATAGCTCCTTGCTGGAAGCAAAGCATGAATTATTTGGGTTTGTTAAGTCTTATCTGAGTTCTGGCATCCTCCCAACTGTGTGTGTTTCATTATCTTTTGAAGTCTTCAATTCCTTATCCTGCCCTGTCTTGTTAATTGCTGCAGCGTGGTTTGTGTTGGTTTTTATTTATAATTTATATGTACTTTGTGTTTGGACAGAATTTCTTCCCTTTAAAAACTGTTCTTGGGAGACTTTTTTCTCCAGCTGATGATAACTGGACATTGGGGGCCAAGTTGGATGTATTAAAGGGACTTTACCAACAGATAGTTATAGAGGTGCAGATGATAGACTCAATAATTCCTCTGTAGAACTGTATCAGCAATAACTAAATCTCCCAAGCTTAATTGCACTATTTCATATTTCAAGGAATCAAGGAATGCCTAAGCATCTTCTGAATACTATTTTGTTTCCCAGGAATAGCATCTTTAGTGTTGCGGCCAGCAAGTCCTCACTCCGGTCCACTGTTTAAGCGGGAGCCCTGTTTAAGCGGGAGCCCTGATTGGCTGGACCATTTGACAGCTCCGTATAAAAGGAGCTGTCAAATGGAATCAGCTGTCTCTCTCTCTCAGCTGCTGCCACGAGCCACGTCTAGCCGCAGCTGAGTTACATGTTAGCAATAAAGCCAGTTAAAGCTTTATATTGCCTCCGTCTCTTTCTCTAAGCGCGCCAAACACAAAATTTAGGAATTATTTATTTCACAAAAATAGCATATTTAATAAAAAGTAGAATTATCAGAGAAGGCTGCCTTCAAAACAAACAGAAAAATAGCAGTCTTGATGTGATGCCTGTGTAGTATCTTACTGATTTTGTCTGTTGTCTGTTGTACCTCTTATGTCCTGCCCTATATAAGAGGTACAACAGACACATCAAAACTGCCTTCAAAACAGACAGAAAATAGCAGCCATCCTAAGAAACCCCAAAGATAAAATTGACCTTGAAAACCAAGGCATATATGAAGTTCCCTGCACTTCATGCCCTGCCACATACATCAGACAGACCAATAGAATAATAAGTACCTGCCCTGATGAACACAAAAATGCAGTAAAAAAGCTGGAACACACTTCCTCACTAGTCCAACACATGAAAGCCACAGGTCATAGTATTGACTTCAATGGCCCCAAAACCCTAGCCATTATAGAAAACACCAGCTACAGTATTATCAGAGAAGCCATCGAGATTGAAAAACAACCTGAAAGCATGAATAGAAGAGATAATTCCACCAGACTGTCAATTATTTGGAAGCCTGCACTCACAAACAAAAAAATCTCCACACCACTAGCCAGGCAAACACCTGGGCACAAACAGATCACCCCTGACACCTCCAGCTCAAGCACACCTCAACCAGGCACCCAGATGAAACCTAGCTTCCTAATAAATGATAGCCATCCATTTACTCGGAGCCAAGCTGCACTAAAAGCCTCCAATACAGGAACACAATGTTGCCAGCCAATCAAGAAAAAAAAAAAAAAACAACGCTACAAAACAGACAGAAGATATTAGAAACACCAATCAAGCAGAACACAGCAAACTCCAAGACCAGTAAACACAGACCAAGACTCCCAACCAATCAGGATGAAGAAAAAAACGATTCTAACAAAGCATGAGGCTAGCACCAAATTTAAAACAGAAACGGCTGTGAAAGCCTGACACACAGATGAACCCAATACTCAAGCCTGATGATGGCAGATGAGATTCTGCCAAAACATCTGTACAACTTTAAAAGCACAACTATAATGATGTGGGAAAATACCCGAACAAAGCTGAATACCATACCAGAGAGAGAGAGAGAGACTAATTTTTCTCAGATCCACAATAAAGAGGTCCCTGCATAAATAAGATCACAACATTTATTTTGTGATGTTGAATTATACTAACTTTCTTCCCATTTACATCATAACTTGGTTTCATCCTCTATTAAGAAAAAAATGGACATGTTTAAAACTCATTTTGTATCAATTTGTTTCTGGTAACATTATTTGTGTAGATGCTTCTGTACATTACATATTTGTCTATTGAAACTGTAATGGATCATTATTATTGTCCTATTAGGCAAGCTTGAAGGTGTATCTTAAGAATAGAAATGGATATGAGGTATGCAAAAAAAAAACATATTTTTTGCAATGTACTGTATAGTTGACAGTAAATAGATTGAAAACATAGTATAAAATATAGTACAAAGGATGGCATTTTGCAAAGCTAAGGGAAACTTTGCAGTAGTGATCACATGACATGAATAACCTCAGAAAACAATTTAAGGCAGTAAGGATTAAATCACCTTAGTGGCTCTTTCGCACTGTCTCTTTGACTAATTGTTCTAATTAGAGTAGAATTACATATATAGGCTAGGGCTTTTAACTTTGTTAATATATTCCTGTTACAAAATTAGTTCCTGCCTTTTCCAAAGTACAGAGCTATGTTAGAATGTTTAAGTTTACAAATTAACTGTGGGAACAAATACATATTGACCGTAACAAAACTAGGGGATACAATCAAGATCAAGTGATCTTGATTGTACTAATACCACTCTATAAGAGTACTACATCCAGTTTTGGTCACCACATTATAAAAAAGATGTTGAGTCTCTAGAAAAACTACAGAGAAGAGCAACCAGGATGATTAGGGGACTGGAGACTAAGACATATGAAGAACAGTTACAGGAACTGGGCTTGGCTAGTTAGTGAAGAGAAGGACCAGGGGAGTCATGATAGCAGTCTTCCAATATTTGAGGGGCTGCCACAGAGAGGAAGGGGTCAAGCTATTTTCCAAAGCACCTGAAGGCCAGACAAGGAATGGAAAACTGAACAAGGAGAGATTTAACCTGGAAATAAGGAGAAACTTTTTGACAGTGAGAACAATCAACCAATGGAACAGCTTGCCCTCGGAAGTTGTGGGAGTGCCATCACTTGAGACTTTCAAAAAGAGATTGGACTGCCATTTATCAGAAATGGTGTAGGGTCTCCCACTTGGGTGGGGGGTCTAACTCTGGTTATCTGTTATCTGTTAGCCTGCTAATCTCAAGTTTCTTTGCTGCCTCTCCCAAGTGAATAGGGCTACCAGATCTGGATTGAAAAAATGTGGTGACCACTAGAATTTTTAATACTGTTCAGTCATCTAGTGTTGTCCAGATGTTTACAATCAAGATCTAATAACTCTATTACATAAATTTGTTCAGTATTTGCTATCCAGGAGGTTGACGGTAATACAAAGAAAGGTATCATCTCAAAATCCAAACAAAGCAATTTCAGCAAATAGTCACTGTTGACCTGTTGACCTGATCAGCTTAAAAACAACAACAACACAAAACAACCCCGTCCCACTGAAATAACATTCAAAATATTCTTATAAAAGCAGGATAGGAGTCTTCTGCCCATTTAAGATACATGTATGTGTGCGTGTATTTTCAAGAGGCAACTGGACTTTGATTTTTTTGGAAGATGTTTTGCTTCTCATCCAACAAGCTTCTTCAGCTCTGACTGGATGGTAGGGAATGGAAGAATTCATATTCCTTGCAGACACCTGATTATTTGCATTCTTTTTAGAGAGTCATTGAGGCCACCTGGGGGTTTGTCTGTATCTTCAAGTATGAACAGGTTTCTTGAAAAATAGCAACAGGAACTATTTGCACTTCAGTTTAAGATGCAGACAACACAGACTCCTCCTCAACAGCCAGCATCTGTGTTCAACAGTTAAGGGACAAAGGTAAGAAAATATTCTGCAGAAAACACAGCTATACAACACAGTCCTTTCAGGCTCCATGCTCATTTGCACTACTCAGGTGATCCTGAGGACACAAACAAAGCCCCAAGGGGACTCTCTAAAAGGATGCAAATGACCAGCTGTCTACAAGGCATATAAATTCTTTGATTCTTCACCATCCAGTCAAAGCTGAAGAAGCTTCTTGGATAAGAAGCAAATCATCTTCAAAGAAAAGCAAGAAAGTCCAGTTGCCTCTTTAAAAGCACCTTTGGGATGGCTATGTACTTCTGTAAAGTGTTCCTAAAATAGTAAAGCTCTAAATCCTAATCAAACAGCATTCAACAACTATACCTGCTCTAGCTGTGATTTTAATAAAAAAGTAAAAATATGAAATGCTAAACTATCCAAGAAGCTTTTATTAGTGAGATTTGATATTATGGTGTTATGAAAATAGGTATAGGTTTTCTTCTTTTTTCATGATTGTTTCTTCTGATTTCTAAGATGAATTTGTCTAAGGTGCATGTGATGAAATGATTCACATCAATGGATGCCTCAGTCATAGACACACATTTGTAATAATAGAAAGCAATTTAAAAAGGTTATGGTCTTTCTTTTTTAAAGAAAAAAAGAACCAAGGATAAAATAAATAAAACTTGTATGTTTTATGAACACCTCAATGAGCTAAGAAGATGTTGCCCTGGATTTAAGTTATTTCAGAGTTTGAAAATACTCTTTCGCTATTTCATGCATATTCATGAGTCCATAGACAAATGCAGCAATAAAATCACATTACTTTTTCTGCCTGCCTTGATAGTATGATTTGCTGACAATTGCCTTCCTACCTGACCATAAAGTATCTAATGTAATTTTAACATTGTGTGCATAATAAATCTTAATTGAGCTCCCCTACAATTCCCTCTGTAAGGAAGGAAACAGCTCCTCCCTGGTTATTTCTTGCCAACATGTTTTCTACTTCATTTACATTTAGAGTAGCTTACCACACATACTAGTGTTTGATAGGGCTAGTTTGATCAAAGAATCAGAAATCTTCCTGAGTAAAGCAGAATATACTCTGCCCAATATCACATTATTTTTTAATAAAGAAAGATATTCCATTGCAGTACATTGGTATATTCTACATTGACTGGGTTCTCTGATAGCATTGTTTTGATAACTGTAAAAAAACAACATAGCACAAAAGGAGAGATTTAAAAAACTGATTGTTATTCCACATGAGCTTGAGCAGGAGTTTGTTGCACTCTTAAAAATATTTAACTGACATAGTTGGAATGATAGGTTCACAAAGCCTGTTAATTATAACACTAGCAGTGTGCTATGATAGGGTATTATGAATTTTAGTACCACAAGAGTAAAATAGGAATGCACTAAAACAAATGAAATAGAATATTGCAGTAAGAATGGGGTGGGAAATTTTCACTGGCACATATATACATTATATAAATACAAACAAATATTTTGTAGTCTCTTAAAGCCAAATACATTTAATTTGTTCTAATACCCTTGGACTCCATCAGGAGATGAAATAGAGCTGGGCACAGTTAAAAGAGCTGTGCAGATCTTTGAAGGAGTCATCCACTTTGTTAGAGCTTCAATCAAAGTGCTACTTTGAAGCAAAAACGTGAAGCAGTGCCCCACTTCAAATTGTCAAAATGTGCCAATTTTGTCCCTTTGCTTCAATCAGTCAGAAGTCTCTGTTAAAGAAGCAGGAGCCAGCAGAAATGGATTTGTTTCACTTTGATCACTCATCTGAGAGATAGTGATTGGCCCAAAGTTATCCAGTGGGCTTCACTGACAGAAGTAGACTTGAAACTGGATCACTCCAGTTGTATTTAAAGAGTGGGCAGTATCCATGACAGCATCTATGATGATCTATTTGAGACTTCTCTAAATTTCTCTCTGGTTGATATATTTCCTCTCACCAATATTACCACTGTTCATTTGCTTACTTCCCTATAAAATGTGTCTTCTATAACTGGCAACAGAGAAAGTATAAAACATTTCCCTCTCCTCTTTTGAAGTTTCCATGATCTGAGTGGGCAAATGAAAGCAACAACACAAAGGAAGATAGAGAAGACTTGGGAAACTGTTGGTGAGCACCTTCCAGGTAGTTGTCAATCTAGTGGAAAAGTGAAGCATGAAAAGAAACTGTCATGAAAGGAGATTCAGATTTAATTATATTCATCTGAAAAGAGGTTGGATGTTTATAAAGTAACCAGAAAGAAACAGAATTAGTCCTTAATGCTTTATGAACACTATGTAATCTGAAGATAACATCTTCTATGGTATTTGACAAGTAAGTATAAAATATTTTCATATTTGAGTATATTTCACATATTGCTTGCTGCTGGCACCATTATCACCCATGTTACACCAACTGTCTCAGGATACATTGCAAGGTGTTTCTACATCTCTCGTACATTAAATGTTGACATTTTAAAAAAGGAGAAAATATATTATTCCTCCCCCAGATCTGGTCATTTTAATAGGTTGGTAATAATTTAGACATATGAATAGGAAAACGAGCAACAAACATTCTAGTGCATGAGCACGTGTTTGTATTATGCTTAGTGATTTCCTACTTAGGCTTTATCTGCAGAACCTTCAGAACCTTCTCCAAAAGGAAAATGGACAGATAAAAAATGGAATGCCAAGACACTGAGATACCACTGAGAAAGAAAAAAAGAGGAGCATCACCCAGAAAAATGTAGGTGGTTTGGTTACATTCATCATTTGTTACAGACTTGAATTTTGTGATGGCAGCAAACTGGAAAATACACACAAATCAACTGATAGAGAACCTGCTAACAAAATAAACTATTCTCGTACATTTCCAGTATTTCATAGACTATTGTGTTTGTATTAAAAATATCCTATTTTCAAAAATTGTTCTTTTGTTACTTTAGGAATTCTACTTTTCTTCTTCTGTTACTTTTAGGGATTCTGTGTCAGCATTCCAGCAACCCTCCATTCCAATCAATAACTCAAAGGTACATACATATCTCAAAGGTACCTTTATTTGGAAAGTAACTGGCACATCTGTGGAATCTCGAATCTGAAAGTTTCAGGCTTCCTTGCAAAAATCAAAACTACAAATCCTTCCCCCCACTTAGCCATCACCATATCACATGATCCAATCACCATCCATCCTAAAGTAAAATTCCCATTTCATTATGCGCCACACTCAGTGACCTTGAATCAACAAAAGAATTTTATTTTGTCTAACTAGATATACTCCTATGAATTCCTCCCTCCCACTTTCCCAGGGTCAATTGTGGCTGTATGGGAGGATCGAATCTCAATATGGCTTCCAAAGCTGACACTCTGCTTGTTCTTCTTGCTATTGTTTCCCATGATTTATTAACAAGGGGATTATTTTGTTTACAATTTATTCCATTACATTTTGCATAGGAATATTCTATTACTTTTAGTTAGCCAAGTGAGTTTTGCATTATTTGCTATCTCCACATTACCCATCAGCTTTCAGCTTCCTCACAAAGACATAAATTTCTTCTGTTGTCCTTAGGCTGCTCTTAACTTCTCTTTGGAACCTTCAGCCCCTGGATTTCTGAATAGCTGTATGCATCTTTGAATCATCTTTACAGGCTTTAAATCCTTCTGTCCTCCATTTTATAGACATGCTGCAGTGCACTGCAATTTCACACTGTCCAACAAACCATTTCTTCCATTTCTATTCCAAACAGCTGCTTGAAATCTAACAGCACAGTGACTCCTTCTAAAGCCTTCTTAGTTTTACTTCTCATCTTATAGAAAGGCTAAATGCCATTATACAGTTAAACAGGGTCTACCTGACAGAGACACATTCCAAAAATTGATGAACATCCTGTCAAACCTCTCAAATGATTGACATGTTGACTTCCAAATAGATGATTCCTATAAACATGTAGCCCTTTACCAAGAAACAGTTGCCTGCCTTTATAATAGCACTACAGCTTTCCAAAGTCTTTGTGCCTTCCAAATGTGCGAATTTCAGTTCCCAGAGCCCACCGACCTCTACTTGTATCATCACTGCATTGCATTATGAGAGATATGTTTCAAATATATTTATTATTGAAAATTATGAAAGCAAACATGAATGGAAGTATTGAATGGTGGGCTAGAGTAGAGTCCTTACGTCCATGGAGATTTTCAATCATCCAAGACATGGTTGTCCCAAAGATACTTTTCAAAAGGCAACTGGACTTTTTATTATTATTATTTCCTTGAAAACATTTCATTTCTCATCCAAGAAGCTTCTTCAGTTATTTCTTCAATTTAACACTCTGAAAGTTGGTCATTAGCTCTCTGAGAGTCATTGAGGTCACTTGAGAGTATATTTATATACTCTTAAGTATGTATCTATACCCTCAAGATTACCTGAACCCTATGTAGCCTCAAGGATTCCCAGAGAGCTTAACAACAGGCCTTCAGAGTGCTAATGATCAGATGATTGCAAGGAATATAAATCTTTCCATCTCCCACCATCAATCAGAACTGAAAAGAAGATTCTTGGATGAGAAGTGAAATGTTTTCAAGGGAAAAAAAAGCCAATAAAGTTCAGTTGCCTTTTGAAAAACAGCTTTGGGATCTAGAGTCCTTAATTATATATATTATTTTATATTTATTTGAATTGTTTTTTTTATTATATGTATTTCTCTGTACCTATTAGAGGATTTGAAATAAATAAATAATATTCAGGGTTTTAAATGTTCACCTTTTTATATTACAGAGATTTCTATCTCAAAGCAATTAGGCCTAGAATGATTAGCATAACTGCCCAGCATGATTGATGGTTTGGACAGGGTCTAAATAAATAAATAAATAGGAACATCCTCACAAATGAATCAGAGAAGAGGAGGAGGAAGAGGAGGAGGAACGAGGAAGAAGGAAGAAAAAGGAGGAGGCAGAGGAGGCGGCAGCTGACTGTTGGCCACAGGGAAAGCAAGGTGATTGGTTTGATCTACGTTTTTTGCCTAATCACAGAGTGTAATGAGATTATTAAACTATTCAATATAACAACCGATAAAGCATACACATGTTATTGGTTATTAATTATAAAGTATAGTGCATCCCATCAGGTTTTTAATAGCTCTTTTAATTATATCACCAAGTTTAATATTGAAATAAAATCTACCCAATTAACATGAATAACTCAACATTTGGATACCTATGCTTTGTTAGATAAGTGAAAAAGCTAGAAACAAACCTTGTGTTGAAGAACTTATAGAGTCCAAGATTCTAGTAATGACCCTGATGAAAGACTGGTTTCAGTTTATTGGGAAGAACATAATTCTTTAATTACTCTTCAGAGGGTTTGGTGGTCATCCTTCCTTGAGCTTAGATTCAATATGGACATTACTTCTATTCTGAAAGTGAATATATTGGATAGAAATCAATATTTATTGTTAAGAATCAAGGTAAAGCAAGACAAGATGAGTTATGTTATAATCTTTGATCAGGTTCATGAACTAGTGATAACCAAAAGCTTTAATATGAAAAGAATCTAACTATTAATTGCTGGTACTAAAACCCTTCAGGCATTTGTCTTAAGATTGTGGAACTCTTTTTAAAAAGACCCCATAAAATCTGAATCAGAACAATTTTTCTGAAGTAGTATTTATGCAAGGTTATGCAACCTTAGCAGAACCTGATTAGCTTTTGCATTATTAATCTGGGGTTTTTAAATGTTATTAGCTACTCTGAGTTCTAAGAACAGGACAGATTAAAAATCAAATGGATACATTGAAATATCCTGCTTGATTTATTTACATATTCTGCTTACTACAATGCATTTAGTTCACATAAATGTATGTGCCTGTTATGTTATTTTTAACAAATGAGATGCTATTGAAAACAACAACAACAACAACAACCCAAGCAGCCCTTCATTTTGAGTTTCTCTCAATATTTTGTAGGGCTTTTTCCACTATTTTCTTAAATGAGAAAAAAGAAGAAATAATTCAATTCATGGCATAATATTTTGAGTAGCAACTTCCCTTTCAAGTTGTTTCATCTTGACATCTCAGTTTCATTTTGATAATCACAAGTAATCAGGCAAATAAGTATATTTTCTTCCCTGAACACCTTTTGAGAATTCTAGGCTATTTGGTTCTTTCTACATGACTACTAAATATTTTCTTTAGTTACTAGTCAGTCCCCCACACTCATGCTCAATACATTGAAAATATACTAATTTGGCATTGTAAATAAATTAAAAACAGAAATTGTTGGTCAGTGACCCCAAGATTACAGTGGGAATCACAAAAATATGCTTATAGCCTTTTGAAAACAAAGGAAAAGCTTCTCAGAACATTAATCAATCAATTAATTTGCAAAACAGAAAAAGGGTAAGTATATTCATGGAGAGGAGCAGGGAGGGATTCTACTGGTTCTGACTGGTTCTATAGAACCCCTTGTTAACTTTCTAAGCAGTTCAGAGAACCGGTAGTTAGAAGCAAACTACTTTTGTTTTTTTCTACCCTTATTACATTCTTGCCAGTATGCCTAGACTTCCCGTCTCCAGAGCTTCTGGGGTTTGACTTTCTTAAAGCAGAAGGGTTGTTTTAAGATTTTTATACTGGTGTTGGGAGGAAATACTTCCCTGGACAAACTGCATTTGAAGAAATAATTGAATGATGAAGCAGAGCTGTCAGAAAGAAGTTTTTTTGATGATAGGGAACCAAGATGAGTGACATTCAGCAAGGCTTCTTGGCTAGCTAGAAAGATCGACATTCAAACATGAGTTTACATACCCTTTCTGAGTTTTGGCCTAAAACTGGTTTTTGGTGAAGGTTAATTCTGTGCTTGGTGACATTTAATCCTGTGTTAATTTTCCCTATTCAGCTTCAACAAGCAACAGTTACTATTGTGATTTAATTATTTGTATTGTGTTTGATTTTTTTCCTGCCTCATAGTTACTTTGTCTATCTGGGGTGGGGGTCTTCCTTCACTGCTTTAGTGGTATCTCACACTGTCCTTTTGGGGTGTACTTCCAAGAGGCAGGATTCAAGCTTGGCACTGATTTTTTTAATGTCTTTCTGGGGGGCATGTGACCTTTCCTTAAATCTGATGATTTCCTTAGGATATCTTGTGAGGTGAGTGAGACCAGCTGGTATCTTTAAGTGGTGCAAATGGATCTAAGGATTGCTTTTCCTGGGTGTGCTTTTTATGGAGAGCTTAAGTGACCTCTCTGCTAAAGGGATTCACTTTATGAGCAAGAGTTAGCTGCTGATAGTTATCACTTCATTTTAGCTATTTTAATTCCTCAAGATGCTCTGGCACCCTGCCTAATTTGTAATTCCGGCTTGCAAGTATTTTTAATTTAATGATTAGTATTTAGGGCAGCTTTTTGCAAGCAAAGAAGCTTTTTGTATTTTTGTACAGGTAATCCTTGACTTACAACAATTCATTTAGTGACCATTCAAAGTTACAATGGCACTGAAAAAAGTGACTTATGACCATTTTTCAGACTTATGACCATTGCAGCATCCCCACTGTCATGAGAAGCCAGGCGAAGAGAAGCACCCCTTAACATGAATGATATTGAGTTGGCCCACGCCCACCCAGTCACATGACCATGAAGCCACACCCACCAACTAAGCCATGCCCACAGAAACAGTTGTTAAAAAATTGAATCCCATTCCTGAAGAGGAGTGACTTATAAATGTGTATATATGCAAATATATCTCATGCATGTGTGTTTATAAATAATAACCATGTATAGTCTACATCTGCAAGCAACTCATTCACAAGTTAAAAGGAATATCAGGTATTCCATTGATTGAGTAATTGGGATCATAAATTTATATTTCTGGTTTTTAAAAAGAAGCTTCTATATCAATAAGAATGATGCAGAGAATCTCTTTCCATTGTTCACCCATAAATTCCCTTGTGATAGGTCTTTAATTCAAAAGAATATGGGCTTCCAAAAATATTAAATGTTTCAAAGTCAGGTTAATGTAGGTAGAGATTTCTTCCCAGAATATTAAAAACTATATGTATTTGAATTAAATTTTCTCATATCCAACCTCAGGATTATTTATATAATTATGTTCTGTCTAAAACAATCAGTGCAATAAGTTTGAAGTATTTCAGAAATCTTCAGAAATTATTGAAGTTAGCATAATTTTATATTGGGTGTGGGGGAAAATGTATTTATTATACATATATTTATTGCATTTAATTGGTTGCTCATAAGTATTACTAGTGGACAACAAAAAACAAATTTAGGAAACAACAAAAACTCATCATTGTTTAATTGATCTAAATTACATCAATTATTGTTTAATAATTGATATGAAGTAAAAAAATGTCAAATACATCCAATAAATATGACAGTTTTACAAAATCAGTGTAAAGATGTAAACTATCCTATAACATCAATTTAGCATGGGGGAGAACCACTTTTTAGAAATTCTATATCACAATATATAAATGAATATAAATGTGATAGTGTAGAAGCAACAAAAGCACTTACCATGTAAATGCTGATAGTGACACTCCATATGGTACCCAGAGACTGGCTTTTACTTATTTTGTAAATGCCTATTATTCCCAAACTTTTTTTTTTTTTAAAAAAGAAGGCATTGTGTGAAATCCATATTGCTACTAGTATTCAGTTTTATACCTCATAACATTATCATTATCTTCAAAAAATTGCCTTTTGGCTTCTGAAAATACTAAATCATAGTCTTTTATGAAACTTGAAGGTATGCTATGAACTATTACAGATGAAATATAAACTGCTGTAATGGGCCAATTCCATTGTGTGCCAAGCCTCACGTGAGCAACCTCAATAGTTCTAGTACATGCCAGGTCTCACGTAGGCTGAAAGCAGGTACTAGGAACAAGGCCATTAACACGTCACAAGGGCAGTTAACTGAAATGCAGGCGTTGGTTTGCTAGTTTAAATTGACCATGGCATTGTGATTGGAAGATACTATACATCCACTAACATTCCTACGCATGTAACATAATGATTGGATGGAGCTCACCTCTTTTGTATGTTCTTAATAAAAAGAGTTCCCCTAACTCTGATCGGGGCAGCTCACCCAAGATAGAACTTGCGTTGGTGTCTTTCTTGATGCATTCGACCACCCAGTGAGAAGCCTTCCATATGCGGAGCAAAGCCGCAATAAACTCCAGCTGCAGTACTGTTTAATTTTTCCTCTCCTTTAACTGTTTTAACTGTTTTCTGACAGCAGCCTTTCTACCTGGCTGTAGCTGAGAAAGAAATAAGAATGTTCCAGACTCCCATTTCACTTCTGTGAATAGGGGTTTTATTTTGCCTCTCAAGCATACCCTGATCAGAGAAGCTCCTTCTGCAAATATGCCAACTTCTCATTAAACTGGCTCACATGAATACATTTGCTTACATGAACAGTTACTTGCAAGAGAAATGCCCATGGCCACTGACATTATCACCAGGGTTTCTTAAATGCAAAGCAGTTGCAAAAACACAAGGAGACATATACAACCAGAGCTTGTGCCCTTGAAAAATGATTTAAGTGGGCAGATCTTTAGCAAAAAAAAGATTAAAAAATATTTCTTCTACCATCTTGGCTGGTTCATTTTGTTTAACTTTAAATCATCCTATGTAATTATTAAAAACTAGCTCAATACTCATGCTTCACTATGAAACTATGTGGTCGAGCTTAGTTTTTGGGGAGGAAAATAAGGGGAAATTTTTTTGCCTCTGCCTACCAGCATTCATAGGTATTCATCTGGCTAGTGACCTGTCAGTGTCTGAGAGAGTTGAGGGTTGTTTGGAAACCGAGACAGCATTTGCTGTGTGAGCAATAAGAAGACAGCAAGGAGCCTGGGCGTGGCTTAGCTCAACTGTTCTGACCTAAAGCAGCTTGATACTGAAACTGAAACTCCTCTCCTCTACTTGTGTTTTGCATTTGGAACAGATTTCTTTTCAGGTGGGGAGAAGGAGTAGAACTCCTTTCTTAATGAGCACCTAGAAGCCAAGAGGAACATACATGCCAAATTTCAAGTTTGTCAACTTTACGGTTCTGGAGATTTTATTATGATGCGTGAGTGGTATTTTACACACACACACACACACACACACACACACACACACACACACGTGTGTGTGTGTATGTATGTATGTATGGTTCTGAGGTTTGAGCCTGCTTTGTTAGAGGACGAAGACTCGGACAATGAGGAAGAGGAGGATTTGGAAATGCCTTCCTCCCCAGGACCTTCCTCTTCGGCAATGCTTTCCTCCCTGATTGTGCCTCAGGTGTCGGCAGATAACCGGGAGGGAAGACCTGAGGCTAATCAGGAAAAGGAGGCAGGAGTATCAGAGTATCTGATTGAGAATCAAGCAGAGGAATGCTGGCTTGATGCGAGGCAGCGTCGCAGGCAAAAGTGAGAGCTGCAACGCAGAAAGAAGGGACGAATCAGAGACTGAGCTGAGGGACTGACATGCCCCACAGGGAATAAAAGTGGGCGAGTTTGCTCTGGGAGCTTCGTTCGGGACAACGTGTTACTTATTCAGAGGAGCTCCGAAGTATTCTGTGACAGCTTGTGTGATTTATATTCCTGCTTTCTTGTCGGACTTGGCAGACAGCGTGTGTGAGACTGCCAAGAACTTTATCGGCTCAAGGAATTTAACTCTATAATTACTGGATTTGCTTGCTTGTTTGTATTCAGTTGGAATTTGGACTTCTCACCTCTTTCGTACAGGTGAGACATAACATTTATATATATATATATATATA